ATATACATATCAAAATAATAACTATTAATTTCCCAAAGTCCAAACACGTTTTTACTAAGCTGAGAATCAGAAAAATAAAAATATTGTCTGTACTCTGTAATATATTTATATCTACTATTTATATGTTATTTGAAATTCAAACACATTTTTAGTATACAACTAAACTGCTTTATTGCTTTACACCATGGACTAAGATATATATTAGTCCGTGCTTTACACTTAATTGTAAAGTAATAAAGCTGAATACTTTTAAAAAATATTTTTTTTTGTATGACAAGTGACTAGAAGCAAGTAAAAAAATAAACACAGAAATGAAAATTAAACATAAAATAAAAATGTAATTAAACATAATATTTAAGTTGCAGTTATTATTATACAACATTTTTATTTTTACAATATTGATAGAAAACTATACTGTAGTACATTTATTTTAAATATCAGTTATTTTAAATAGTATAATTATCAACACATTTTGAAAAATAAACAGTTAAACTAATTAGTGCTTTTTGGTTTTAGATCCTCGAAGCATGGTCTTAAGAAAATCTGTGGTTTTTTAGCGGGATTATTATACTCGTGACCCTGAAAATTAAACAAAAATGTATCATTACATAGAAGTAAGTTCTTTTTTTTTATTATTACTGTTCAATCATTGATATAAAAAACTTAATATAATTTGTTTTCTAACTCTATTGTGAATTCAAATGTTATACCAATTATCAAAATATAAATTAACTTTACTAACTTCAAATGAAAATTAATAATGTAGTTTCAATTTTTTTCTTTATATTACTAAATTGATATTTATATATTTCTTTTCTTCTAATTATACAACACAATTAAAATAAGAAAAACTAATAAGTATACAAAAAACCATTAAAATTATATGAAAGTTAAGACAATCAAATAATGTTGCAATAATAATAATAATTCTATTTTTGGAATAAGACTATTATTATTATTATTATTATAATGCATTATATCAAATGGATATATTTCAATAATTTGAATATATTAGATTAAATGTGTGCAACACAATTAGTAAGTTTAACATATTTTTTTTTTTAATATAAGTTGATTTATTTACTTACAAAGAAGGTTAAGGTTTTAAAAAATAATGACTAAAATGCCATGATTATATTATGTTTTATCTCTTTGATTTCTCAAAAAGTATCATAGTTTCAACAAATATAAAGTAACAATATAATAACCTAAGACCTTAGTAATTAATATACTTACTTTTGACCAGTCATATCCAATACTGTAAGCAAATATTTGACCATTGCTATTAAAACAGCATTTTGTTATTGATTGGTCAAGCGTCTCAGATGATTTCAACTTTGTGCGTGCATCTTTATCCCAATATGCAATCGTTGCATCAGAACCCACAGTTGCTAATGTACCATGTACTGGATGGAACTTGATATCATTCACCTGTTAAAATATTAAGTAAGTAACATAGAAATAAGAAATAGTTTATGTTTACAAATACTTACAGCATAAATGTCTTGGACATTCATAGTTCCTGAGATATTTAAACGATGACATTTGAATGTAAAGTTGTCTTTTGAACTCTGCGGTTGTATATACTGAATAGCAACACGTCCTTCAATACTTCCCAAGCCAAATCCTAAATTATAAAAACCATACATTTAAATACTTTTATGTTAATATCCATCTCTTTTTTATTGTATTACTAACCAATAGGGGATTGTTTTTTCTTATCTCTGAAAATTGCAACACAACGATGTTGAAATTTAAGAGGGGAGTCTACAGATTTCACCATTTCAGGTTTTCCTTCTAGTTTATAAACAACTATGCCCCTTGATGCTGTACCAACAATTGCCATAGGATAATCCTAAACAATATAATAATGATAGCACCTATTTGTACAATTATAGTTAAAAAAACATTATTAAATATAAGACAAAATTAATTAGTTTATTTGAATAGTGAACTAACAATTTATATTTTAATAAAATGTAATGTTATCAACTTACCACATCAGCACAATAAGCTCTCTCAGGTAGATTAATGGTCATCATGGGAACTGGACTTCTAACATCCCAAAACTATAGAATAAAAAAGATAATAAAAATAATATAATATTTGATGAAACATAATCTAATATTTATACTTAATAAGCATTTTAAGGTAAATTATTTATCAAAATATTCGTTAACTACTAAAGTCTAAAAATATATCTAATTCAAATTAATGTTGCTAATAATAATGATTTTTATTTAATATTTATCATATATATTAGCTATAAGAAATAGCTTATAATAGAAAATAATTGATATAAGTAAAGACCGGCTTTATGTTTTTACATATCGTTATTGAGTTTATGGAGTCTGAAGAGAGTGAAAGTTGTAAACGATTCATTCCACACAGAGTTCATAGGAAAAATTTATTATTGCACATTTGAGAATATTTCATCGATTAGGGAATATTTAGATTATTTAGCATATTTCGGAATATTTTGTAAATTATAAGAAATAAATACTAATTTATTTTATTTTTAAAATTATTGTTATTAATTTTAATTTCACGGTACCTGAAAAAAATATTTTACAAACCATAATTATTTTTATTATTTAATTTTGATAAAAAAAAAACACACCGTGATAGCAACAATATTAGTACCATTACTATTATGACACAGTCATAGGCCTTAGTATAATTGGGTCACTGCAGTACCGTTATGAATTAGTTTACCTAAGCTATACTGATAACAAAAACGTACCTATTTGTATATCAAAAATCCAAATATATTTTGGTTTTATGACTGTGGGTTTTTAAGTTATTTAAATTAATAAAATAAAGAAATCCATTAATTTTAAATTAAATACCTTTTAAGACAATAGATAGCATAGTAAACTAGCTTGTAAAACACAAAGCACAATATATTAACTATTACTATAGGGAAATTATTCAATTATGCAAGTGTATACTTGACTATTGTAAAAAAAAAAATTTTAAAAATACTGCATATTTAAGAATATAATGAGGTTTATTGATTCTTTTTGCATATTTTTCTAATCTTTCAGAGAATATCCATCTATGTTTTACTAACTTTTAGTAAATATTTCCAATTTCCATCATAATTTAGGGGTTTTAAGAGAATATAAATCCGGACATTAGATATAAGTTATTATCAATCACAACCTGAAAAATATTTGTGTTTTACAAAAACAACATTTGATACACCTTTAATGTTTTATCCCATGAGCCTGTCATAATACAAGTATAAGATGGCGCTTTGATCCAATGACAAGTGTTTATGGGTGCATCGTGAGCTGCTACTTGTACTGTTTGATTACTTCCTAAATCCCAGCATTTTACTTGTTTGTCACAAGACGCCATAAAAACTTTTGTGCCGTCATCACTCCAACACACATCTAAAATTGGCATTGTCATTGACTGCATGGATTTTGGCACAGTCTTTCCGCTCTGTTCAACTTCCCAACAACGTACCTAGATTAAAATAAAAAAAGTCACAAGTCACAACAACACTATATGATTGTCTGCCCATCTTACACTGCTATCCCAACTACCAGCTATGAGGAAGTTTTGCTGCATCGTGGCCGGACTGAACGCCATTGCCGAAACGGTATCATCAGGAGGCTGTGTGACTTCAAAATCTTTATTAGGGTTTGTGGGAGCAGCCACTGGCTTATTGGAAAACAAACCTCCACCCAACATAGTCTGGAAACACAGGTCAGTTACTCAGTTAAGCATGTTTTCAGGGTGAATAAAAAATGTACAATGATAAATTATAATATCAATCAACTTACCTCAGTTATTGACTGTCACAGCTAAATGTCAATTATTCTTTCCAACTATAAATATTAATTATTAATGATATAATAGTGCATTAAATATTAAGTATTAAGCTGTAAGCATTTATTATTTAAGTATTTCATACTATAATCAACGTAATCGTATCAATATTCAATATACGTTATAGAACGGTTATAAAAGATACGGTTATAGTTATACCGCGCTTCTTGCATTGTTTACTAACAACAAACAGGTTTACCAACAGATATATAAGGGATAAATATTGTTTTCAATGTCAGCATAACTCTATGATTCATGCACGATTAAAGATAATATACTCGTTACACATCGAGACTGTATAAGTATAACACGACTCGAAAAGCGCGATTGAAAATGTACTGACTATAGCAGGGGAGGCAAGCGAGAAATGACTTGCGAGCCACCAAATATATTAATAAATATGGAAGAGCCAAAATATAAAAAAAAAAAAGGTCATATTATTATATAATTTATATATATATATTTATATATCAGATATTGTATTATTGTAAATAAGATAAGTTAAGGTATGGTATTTAATAAAATGTGAAGAATAAGATAACAATAATTGTACAATAATCTCAAATTAAATTTTATCTTCGTAAATACCATAAATATCAAAATATCATACAGACACACATGGATAATGGATATTATGTCTTCATAGTGTTTTTTGACGTCATGCGTGTAACAACACAACATTAATAAAATAATTATTATGTCTAAGAAACGCAAGTATGAAGAAGAACACAGATAATTCAAATTACAATGGGAAGAAGAGTTCTTTTTCATAGAACGAAACAGTAAACCATTTTGTCTCATCTGTCAATCCCAACTATCACAATTTAAGGTTAGTAACTTAAAACGTCATTATGAAACAAATCACAGTTCGTTTAGTAACGAATTTCCTACTGGTTCTGATTTGAGAAAAAATAAATTAAGCACAATGAAATCAAAATTAAATAAACAAACCAATGTTATGGCGGTATTTTCCAAAGAAACCGATATAACTACTGAAGAGAGTTTTTGTATATCGTTTAATATTGCTCGAGCAAAGTGCCCATACACAGATGGGATATATTTAACAAAAAACATTTTAGATGTTATTTCCATTTTAAAACCGGAAGATAAAAAATTACTTACCTAATATGGTTGAAAATATTTCGAATAGTAGACATACTATGGAAAGGCGTATTTCAATGATAAGTTCAGATATTTTCTCTAATTTACAAAATGAAATTGCTAATTGTTCTGCATTAAGTTTAGCGTTAGATGAATCTACTGACATTCAGGATAAACCACAGTTAGCTATTTTTGTACGTTATGTGACGATGAATATGGAAGTGAAAGAAGAATTATTAGATCTTATAGCTCTTAAAGAAACTACTAGAGGTTGTGATATTAAGGATGCTCTTGACGTAGTACTTCGTAAAGCAGAAGTACCTATTGCAAAAATTGTTAGCGTCTCAACTGATGGTGCACCCAGTATTACAGGTTGTAAAAATGGATTGATAGGTATTTTAAAAAGTGATACTGATTTCCCAGACTTTATTCCAATTCACTGCATTATTCATAGAGAACACCTAACGGCTAAATATTTTAAATATGAACATGTGATGAGTGTTGTTCTTAAAATTGTGAATTACATACGTTCAGGTTCAAAAATACATCGCCAATTTAAAAACTTTGTTGAAAGTTTAGAGGATGATATTCCAAATGATGTTCCGTGGTATTGTTTAGTTCGATGGTTATCGGTAAATAACGTTTTAATAAAATTTTTCGATTTATTAGAACCTATTAAAACATTTTTAAAAGAAAAAGATAAAAATTTTCACACAACTTTAAGACCCACAATGGTTAAGAGATATGTCATTTTGTACTGACGTTGTGCATCACTCAGCTACATTAAATATGTCTCTTCAAGGTAAAAATAAATTTATAAATAACCTAGTACAAGACATTTTTAGTTTCCAAAATAAGCTTAAACTTTTTCAAAGAGACTTAAGAACAAATAATTTAAACCATTTTCCGTATTTAAAAAAAATTGAGGATTATTTGGTTGGAATAGCATCAAAATTGAATTGTGAAGATTATGTACAAATATTAGAGTGTTTATCAACTCACTTTGAAGATCGATTTAAAGACTTGAAATTACTTAAACTGTAGTAAGCGAGTTACTACTTAACAAATAAAACAAATTCCACAGGTATACAATTAGTATACTATACTGTAATTCGGCATATATCGGATATTAGAATCGGAAATAGGATTTCCTACTGGTTAACATAAGGAAACAGGCTCACTGAATAATATAATTACTCAGGAAGCCCTGTATACGACAATGTACAAATATAAAATATAAAATAGTAAAGTGATTATTTTTATTACAACGCGGTACGCGACGATATTCAATATAAAAATATAATAGAGTAAAATGATTATTTAAATGAAATAGATCATAGATTAACATTTAGTAATACGCAGAATAATACTGGGAAGTCATAAAATGCGTGGGCTGGAACGATGACCACACCAGATCACATCCGTGTGCCGAGATACAGTATCTATAGTCAAAGGGTAAGGGGAACTTCATATAAAAGGGAGCCCGAAACGACCTGTATTCAGACGTGTACTACCATCCACTAGTGCAAGCACCTTCACGCCACTCTGTATAACATTATTTGGACTTAGAAAATTATCAACGTTAAAATAAAATTCACAATAATTAACATCTGTCTTTTATTTATTCATCTTCCACGACTACAACATCTAATAGAGTGTCTGCGACCTGCAATCATAATAACTTGGTTGCCACTTATCTACTATTAGTACTACGATAGTAGGTACCAAGCATCCAAGCTTATTACAAAACCTTGGATTGCATTTCTAGAAAATCCCTTTGTAATTAACGTTATTGAAAATGGATGTCCAATATTAAAATCGATTTCAATGGATACGGCAGCTTTAGAAATTGAACTCTTGGAATTATTGGAAGATGAAGGACTGAAGCAGTTCAAATACAGTTGTCATTCTTTGTTGGAATTTCGGAAACATGTGCCTGTTATTAAATATCCAAAAATTACTCTTTGCGCTCAAAAGTTAATATCGATTTTTGGAACAACATATTCTTGCGAGTCTTTATACTCAACCATGAAAATGATTAAATCTAAACATCGATCAACATTAACGGATGATCATTTAACTGAATTGTTAAGGACTGCGTTAACAACATATAGTCCTGATTTTAAAAAGCTTACAAGCAAAATAAACACGCAACAAATAAGAAAATAGTCAATTAAGAAAAATGATATCAAGAATACTTTATTTTTACAAATTTTTTTCTGTACACTGTAATTTAATAATTTAATTTAATAAAATATTATACTTTTTTAAATAAATAAATTCATATTAAAATTTTTTTTTTTTTTAAATGTTACGATAAGATGCGAGTCGCAAAAGTCTATGACGCGAGCCGCGGTTTGGCCACCCCTGGACTATAGTAAGGCCAGCGAAAAATGAGCCACGATTGTAGCGCCCCAAGTGGCGTCTTTTCGGTAAGGCTATAGTTTTTAGATAGGCCTACTGAAAAAAGCCACTTGGGGCACTACAATCGTGGATTATTTTTCGCTAGCCTTACTATCGTAGCCAGGGCTTAAAGTGGAAAAAAATCCCAGGGGGGACTAACGTCTCCATATAGTTTTAAGCGTTCCATATATCGTTTTATGTATAATGTCTATTGCATAATATACATATAGTCATAGTGGGTACATGTAATTTATAAACAATGATTGTGTAACATACTCATCCCACATTGAATCATGAATAATGGTCAAATTTTTAATTTATTTTATGAATAATACTACATTTCGCGGTCAACCAATCACACCCTCCAACCTTGTAGTGTCCAGTCCTGTATATCATAGTCCGTGGTAATCACGGTTTTAATCTCAACGGAATTCTGAATTATATTGAATATTGATATAATTGGTTATAATTGGAGCGTTCCGACGTACTTTAAGAATGATTTTTTAAAGGGGACGCTTTTTAACCACCATTAGAGGTAGGGGGACTGAGTCCCCTTGCGTCCCCCCCCACTTTAACCCCTGATCGTAGCACTATCTAGTGGTCTCCTCAATTTATTTTAACCACATAAATTTATTAATTATGAAAACTAAGTATCTATATATACCTAAATACCAAAGTACTATAATTACTATTTACTTTTATACATTAAAAATTTAAAGCTTCGATTAAAGATATATCATTAATCGTGATTAACACAGTAGTATTGTTCTATGGTAGTACTTGTCTACTTTAAAACACTATAAGTCTATAGACTATAAACAAGTAACAACAAAATAACTTGTATAAAAATACCACATGAAATTTCAAAAATAACATTTGGAATACCTAAAGACGAAGAAGAAAAAAAGAAATGGGAAGTAGCTTTAGGTGTATTATTTAAAAAATCAAATCGGATTTGTTCAAATCATTTTTATAAAGAAGACTTAAATAATACATGGACTTTAGGTGAAGGAACAAACCCATATACAGTAAGCTATTATGTCTAATTAAAATTTTTTTTTTTTTGGTTCATAAGTTTATTCAATTTGTTACAAAAAAGAGAACAATAAGGACAATTGATGGTAAATATAGGTTAAAAAAAAAAAAGGCAGATTAAAAAGACTGTAAAGGCCTCCCAGCGGAGGTCTAATGACTATCTAATTTAAATACCTATATTAAAATATCAATATAGAATATGTTTAGCCTATACTATAATCAAAGTTTATTTTAAAAATAAAACATTGATATGGTTAATATTGCTTTCTTATTCTTAGGTTTGCTTAAAGTGATGGCAACTAAAAAAAGGGGCATTACCATTTCTACATCCTTTAGAAAAAAATGAAGGTGATTATTGTTAAATAATTAAAAATAACCGTAAACAGCTTAATTAAATATTTGTTAAACAAATCAAAATATACTAGTACCTATCGATTATGCACTTAGTGAATTAACTTTAAAACGATATTAAATTTTTTTACTGGATCATATTATAAATATAGCCTTGTGTTTCGAAAATTATGTGACTCCTCCCCACCATCACGAAAAATTCATAATCATGCCACTGACCTATACCACCTTGTATAAAGAACTCATATAGTCAAATACATGAAGTATCTTCTTGTATCTTCTTCTGGAACGATGAATGTATTGATTTACAATAATGTGTGTTTTTTTAGTTTCTGGGTGGAATGATGAATGTATTGATTTTACAATGATGTGTGTTTTTTATTTTTTTTTTGTGTCTGACATTTTAAGACAGTAAAAGTGCTTGGATTTTCTTCAACAGTATCTTTTCTGATAGGAAAGTGAATCTAGTTGGTACTTTGAGAGGTCAAAAGTAAAAATTTCCCAGTTGTTTTCAAAAGCAACGTGAAAAACAAAAGAAAAATTAAGGAAATACGAGAATTTTTACTCAAAATCTGTTTTCGAGAAAATCGATTTTGGTTTTTGGCACAACTCTTAAACAAATGACTGTAGGTACATGAAATTTTGACTGAATGTTTATATTAGCATTTTCTATACACCATAACATTTTCCAAATATTTTGACTTATTTTGAGTTCTTTACGAACTTTTTAGTTTTTTTTTTCTATAAATATCGATAAAATGTTATTTGTTGGTTAAAAAAGCTTAAAAATTTAATAAAAGGTACCTAGTTTATTTTTTCAAAGGCACATGGGAAAAATTAAAAATCTATAGTCACATTTTTTTTTTGTAAGCATTTAAAGTTCAAATATTGACAAAATACGTAAAAATGACGAAAATTTGAAAATTATTTTGAGTTAAAAATTCATAAAAAATTTGCCTTTTAAATCTAAGATTTGAAAATGTAATACAAGATTCCTCATATATTTGTCTACATTTTTCAAAATAAAAAAATGTCTACAAGAAAGTCAAATTAAATTTTGATGATCGTTTGAAATTCATATTTTTACAACATTTGATATTCACTCGATTTGTCATGCAACGATTTTCTTATTTTGTTGTAATTAAAAAACGAATGACTGTAGATACTTGAAAATTTCACTGAATGTTTATACTAGCATTTTCTATACACCATACAAATTTGAAAATAATTTGACTCTTTTTAAGTTGCTTACGGACATTGTCAATTTTCATTTTTTTTAGTTTTTTTTTTCTATAAATAAAATTGTATTTGTTGGGTAAAAAAGCATGACAATTTAATGCAAGGTTTCTTATGTATTGTTACATAACAGTTGAAAAATATTAAAAATACTTAGGCGCAATTTTTTTTTATAAGCACTTAAAGTTCAAATTTTGACAACATTTATCACATTTAAAATTTAATAATAATTATGTAGTTAAAAATTTATAAAATGTACAACTTTTATAGCTAAGGATTGAAAATTTAAAACAAGATTCCACGTAAATAAGTTATATATAAATTACTTTATTCGCCTTCGTATTATCAAATATACTTCGTAATATATTTATATATTTTCGCTCAGAATCGTTTTTCTTATATAATGATATTATATCATTGAATTCAAATTTAATACCATCCATTATACAGTGACCCATTTGTAACCTACTGTACAGCAGAGCACCTTTTATAAATATTAATTGTTACATAATATAATTTGGCGTTTGTGTTTTACTGTATTAGTGCATTATAACACAATGTGTTACAACTATAGTCTTTAAAAATATATTTGATAATGAGTGTATGACCTATATTATAATATTATGAAACCAAAAATATTAAGGAATAATAAAATATACTGTATGTCTGTATGATAACAATAGTATACAACACGTTAGTAACATCTCAGTGTAAATAATTGGTCCAATAACAAGGA